TAGAAGATGCAAGGTGACCACATCAATATCAGAAGAACAGCATTTGAACGGATTTAGGCTGTTCTCGATCACAAATCAGGCAATTTTTACAGATGGGGAGACTGATTATTTGATAAGAGGCAAATTCATTTGTGATGTTGAATCAAGTGGAAAACAACAGAAGTTTCTTCCATCTTCATCACAAACACTGATATTGGAACTTTTTGAGGTATTGAAGGAATTGTTTTTCATGGCAACTTGTGAATTCGCAATAAAAGAATTGTATATAAATCGTGATTTCCGTTACAGGAAATCAAAAACACAGCAGAAGTTTACTGTGGGCGCGGGATTTACGCGAGCAAACATCACATTCAAAGTTAGGGTTGCTAAATTAAGTGAATGCAACGTTAGTGAACTGAAAACATGGCAGAAAATAAGAACGGAATTGCGTATTGAGGAAGTTGCAGTCTACAAAACAATTCTACTTGAAAGAATGTTAAGACATTTTGGTGGTTTACTTGAAAATGCAAATGATTTGCTGTTAGCACTATATAAATCACCTGAAGCAGCAACTGGCTCTGAATTAGAGCAACCTATGACACAAATGACCTTAGATCCTGGTGACTTACAGGCTGAGGGTGAAACAGAGGAAGCAGAAGAAGCAGGTTTATTGGAAACTGCACTTTTTCCAAGGTGCGTTATCTTACAAGGAGAAGAATTCTATTCAAACAAACCTGATGAAGATTTTGTCGTAGAGTTTCAAGGACATGAAGGTACAGCTGGTGGGATAGAAGATTCAGATGATTAAATATCGTTTGATCAATTAATACAAATTATATTAGGAGAATAATTTGATATTTCATAATTAATCATTTCTATTGCCTTCTGATGCTTCATCTTGTTCTTCTTTAGTAATTGGAACTTCAACGGTTTCTATGACATATCCTCCCCATTCAGAAACCAGCATTTCAATCGATTCCGTCCTTTGCTTTCTGTTTATTGACACAGTTTCATCTTTATTCCTCAATACCATCTCTTTATCAATCAAATCACCTCTTTCTTCATCCACCTCTACCATTCTATTTGTAACTGTATCTGTGGCGAACACCGTTCTTGGTGCGCCTGAAACTAAGACAACCATGAGCTACTTGTGACGGGTTGACTAATAGATTGTTTATTAAGAAACAAATAAACAATCGTAGGTATAAAAGAACTGGGGTTTGGAACCCCACGATCAGTAAATGAAGACACCTAAGAAGACTGATAAACCTGTTGAAGATACTGAGGTTTCGGATAACAACAGTATCCTTTTTCAACTTTCTTTTATTCATCTTCTTTTTCATTCCTGACATATTTATTTGATCAATATATTTTTATTGCTTTGTTATTCGTGTAATCTATTCATCTCATATGAATCATACTGCCGCACCTTATTCTGTTTCAAACAATCAACAAAATATCCAAATACAAATAAACCATGTGCCAAACCACGGATGACATCAATAAGCTCAAGATCATCACCGGAATAGTATTCGGATTCATGCTACTAGAAATATACGGTCACGTCAAGACCAATTCCCTCTCTCTACTTGCTGATGCACTGCACCTTCTCGTTGATTTGAGTGGATTCATTCTATCAATGATCACTATCAGACTGTCCCAGAAACTTCCCACTTCCAAATACACCTTTGGATTCCACCGATACGAAATACTCGGTGCACTTGGAACCGTCCTTCTTATTTGGATTGCTGCTCTCTATTTATTGCTTGAGGCATTCTATAGATACCAAAGTCCCAAGCAGATTGAAAGTG